TCAAGTGTCGTGATTAATGTGTTTGTAGCCGTATGTGCCGCAGAAACAGAGCTCACGTGGCTGAGGAGGTTGTCTGCAAGGTCTTTCCTGGCAGATGTTTTTGTGTTTCATGTTTCTTTCTCTCACTTTGTGAGCTCTGCTTTTCCTTGAGCTCCAGTCCTGCCTCTGCGATCATGTTGATGTGACCTGCTTTATGTGCAAAGGAGATCATTCTCAGCGTGGCTGGCAAACTGCAAATGTGACTTGCTCACAAATGTATCCAAATTTGCAGTTCCTTTGAAAAAGAAAAAAAAAAAAAGGTTATGAATATTGTGTGTGGACTCTTGGTGTGGCTTTTGGATAAGGCATGTTTGGTAGCAGTGGGAATTGGGATGGTGAGATGGAAGTGCTTTGTACCAGTGTAGGGTGTGGGCAGCCCTTCACCCAACGTTGAAGGGCTCTCGTGGTGGCTGGGGAGAAGGGAAATTCATGCCAGCCTTTATCTCCCACCTCTCTGCCTGTTCCCCAGCCAGCAGAGACTGCCTTACCAGGCAGAATTAGCCCATATTTCCAGTCTTGGGTTGCGTGGGGCAGGCAAAGCGTGGGCTCTTACTGTGCACAGCCAGGGCAGTTCAGCAAACAAGGAGAAAGAAGGGGACTTCATATCTGACAGGGCTGCATGGCATGACCAACATGTAGTAACTCTTTGGCAAACAGCCTTTTTCATCACCAAAGGCATGACCTTGAGCAGAAAATCCAGGTGGGATCATTGGACGGTGTTAAGAGCCTCCCTCTGGAAACCTGTGGGTTGGCTTTTGTTATGGCTGGTGACTCTGAGGCTCTGATACTCAGTCTGCAGAGGGTTCCTAGCTCTGGGTGTCAAAATCATTTCAAGCAGGCAGGGTGGGCTGTGGGCCAGTTTGGGACTGGGGCAGTTTCTTCCCAGGTGCTGCCTTCCTGGGAGTGACAGGATTACTGACCATCGCTTCCCCAGGACAGCTGAGCAAAGAGTGCCATGGCAGGAGAGGTGCTGTGTGTCTGTCGGTGCCCCAGCTGTGGCTGTGCTGCTGGGAAAGGAGAGGGAGGCAGCAAGGCTGGGGCCTGACCCTGCTGGTAAAACCTGGGCTGTTTTCTGCTAGGAAGAGAGGTCCCTTCACAAGCATCAGAGTTGCTGGGCTTGGCCCTGCCTTGAGCCCGCTGGGCTGAGATAGGATTGCCATCTCAGTAACAAACCCTTGGGGTTGTCTCAGGCTTTATTACTCTCCTACCCGCTCCCTTCCCTTACCCAAACTTAAATTGACAAAGTGCTGTGGGGTGGAGGTGGGGGTGGGACTGGGACTGTGTGTAGTAGAAACCTCTGTGTACATCAGCTGAGATGTGGTGAGATCAGCTCGTCCTTGGTTCTCCTCAACTGAGCCCAGTCCCCAGCAAAGGCAGTGAGTCCATGTACAGCTGCTGCCCCCAAATCATCCCTGGCAGTGTCAGCCCCACAGAGCAATCACTTACGGCGTTTCTCCTGCTGACTGCAGCCCAGCTCCCTTTGCTGCAGTAATTCCCAAAGTTCATCCTCCTGCAGCAGCAGGAGCACCTGAGGGCACTCCTCTCAGCAAAGCCCCCTTGGCCAAGAACCCTCGAGCTTCCCCCATTGCCTGTGGGGCTTTCAGTGCTGCCAGGGGCACAAGGGCACTTGGAAAATCAAACCCACCACCGTGAAACCCTGAATGTTGCTGACGCAAGGCGCTGATAAACTCGCAGAGCATCACGTGGAGCCTGCGAGGGAGAACTGTCCAAAGCCTATTGAGTGGGAGATAAACTGGCCCCTGACAAACATTATCTGGCACTGGTTGATTTCGTGTACGTGAAATAACATCAGCAGGAGCTGATGTTAAACCCAGGCCTTTTGGAGATAAGACTGCTACTTTGCCCTCACGGAGGAATGCCAGAAAATCCCCAGCAGCTTCACCTGGGATCAGCTCCACCTGGAACCCATCCTTCTCCCAGTTCCTCTTGCACTCACTCCTGTTGTCAAAAACCAGATGATTGAGATTTTCTTCTTGTCTGGGAAATGAACTTCGACTTTCTCTAGCTTGTTAAAATTATTTCTGTATGTTCTAAAATTTAACCTTTGACGTCAGGTATGTAATAACTTATTGGTTCAACTTCTGGCTGGTGCTGTGTGTGGCTGTAAAACATTCTGACTCTCATGGTCTGCATTGTGCAAGCTGGCAGACAAGGCAGGATGCAATCTCTGCTCCTGCAAGCAGCTCTGCCCAGAGGGGATGTGATTTCTTCATGCAGGTAGCAGGAGCTAGCTTCTAAAACAATAGAGGTAATGATTCTCTACAACAGTAGCTCTCCCTCAGCGTGTGTACAACCCAGCATCTCTAATGGTATTTATTGCTGAACTGAGAATATCTGGATGCACCAGTCTATTTTCATGTGTTGTAACGTAGGTTTTTTATTTCTGCTGGGAAAGATAAAAGATTCAGAGATAACAATGTTAAATGTTTAATCGTATCAGTTGACTCTTTTCTAATGTACAGCCTGAGATGTTTCTTACAGGAGTGTGACAGTGTCTGAACTTTGTAAAAAGAAACTTCATCTTAAACTGTGTGGGATTGAACATCTCAGTCCCTGATAGGGAGGGGAGGGAGTTTCCTTGCCATGGTTTCAGAAAGTTGAAAGCAGGGGACTTGTTCCTGAAGGGCAATTGGGAAATCTTTGAGCAACTTGTTTGTTTTGGTTTTAAAGCCCTACTGACATTGGCACATCTTTGGTCTGTAGCTTTGGGGGAGTAAGGAAGGTTGCAGCCCTTTCTAAGGTGCCAGCCTGAACATGTGTATCAGTAACTGAGGTTGGATGCAGTTCAGCAGAACCTCTTGCTTCCATATAATGAAGCTATTTTTTAATTTTAAACTTTATTGAGAGTTTCCTTTGGTTTGAACAGTTTGTCATCTTTTGTAATTGTTCATTCTAGTTTCTTAGTTCTAGTGAATGTGTGAACTCTTTGACAGATTGCTTTCAGAGGCAAAGGAGATAATTTTAAGGTGCTTCAAAATTAGTTAGTAGTCTAACTAAATCATGTCATTGGGGTCTGGAAACAGCTGAGAAACAATTATGGAACCTGACAATGTGTTGGTGGCTGTCAGGTTTCCTGTAGTAATCTACTTCTCATGCTTATTTTCTTCTTGGCAATTCACAATGAAATTGTGGGAAGAAGCTGCGAAATTCAGCGCTCAGTGTGAAAATCAGGCTTCCATAAAAAAACCCGAATAAAACCCTGCATATAAAACCTTCGCTCTGTGCGATCTTTCATAGAGACCAGATAGCGTGGTAGGAAATGAGAGAGGTGTGTGAGATTGTGGGAATTGCCTGTTGGCAGGGCATATTCCTCTCTCTGGTGTCCAATAAAGTTTACATAAAGTCCATAGGTCACAAACCCTTTCCCCAAGGCAGGCTGTGCTCTCACGCTCAGCGCTGCGGGTGCCTGGCGTGCCCCGGGGAGCTGAGGGCTGCTGGCATGAGGTCTCACCTGCGCCGTTTCCTTGCAGACGCGTATTCAGTCTCTTCCAATGACAACGGGGGCAAGTCTGACTCTGTGGCCAACCTACAACCTCAGCCATCCCTCAACTCCATCCAGAGCTCTCCGGGCCCCAAGCGCTCCACCAACACCCTGAAGAAATGGCTGACCAGTCCCGTGCGCCGCCTGAACAGCGGGAAGACCGAGAGCCACATCAAGAAACAGAAGAAGGTGCGAGATGGCAGGAAGAGCTTCGACCTGGGCTCACCAAAGACTGGGGACGAAACCACTCCTCAAGGAGACAGCGCAGATGAGGTGTGTGTTGGTGTTTGTTCGTGTTTGTTACAGGAAATGCCATGATCTAGGATAGTCTCCTCCATGGGGTGTGAGTCATGCTTGAGTAAATGCAGTTCCCTGAGGGTCTGGAGGGAACGGCGAATCGTACATGAAGTTGCATTGTTGCAAACAGCTTTGTCATCTGAAGAGCAATGGAATATGTAAGGAACAGTGTTTCACAGTTTGCATATATTATTATCTTTTTTTTTTATACATTTATAAAAGCCTATTAGAAAGCTGCCAGGGACAGAAATGGAGTTATTCTTGAGCAGCTGTTACCACTTTTTGCTGAGGTTTGTATCACCTTTATGCTACCATAGCAGTGTAATTCCTTAATGAAAGAAAATACTCAAAGAAATAGCCATGTTTCTATTAAATCTGCTATGTAGTTGTACCTGCAGTTTCCCTGCAGGCATGTTCTCCACCATAATGGTACTTTCCTGATAAGGTGAATGAGGAATTAAAAGCCAAAAATGCAGAGGATACTAACTGAACACAAATAGAGGAACACATTTTAAAAACTGTACATCCAACAGTTCTTATTTAAATGAAAAAACTACTATTCTGTCAGCACACAGACAGATGTAGCTGCCTTAGCTGCATGAATGACCTATAAACTGTATTTCTGTAAGCCTTAGAGTGCACCAGGATTAACCAGCAAAACCTTATGTCTTTACTGTTTCTCTTCCATTACCTGCAATTCCCTCCATCCAACACAATATTGAACTGAAAAGATAAAAGAATCCTGTCCCTGTTTCTAATTATATGTAACTTTTTTTCAGAAGAGCAAGAAGGGCTGGGGAGAGGATGAAGCAGATGAAGAGTCTCACACACCTCTTCCTCCTCCTATGAAGATTTTTGACAATGATCCAACCCAAGATGATATGGTAAGGCTTCCCTTACCATATAATTGTTCTGTTTGAGTGCATTTCTCACATAGCTATATCACAGTGGTTTTGTAGGGGTCTTCTAGTATCAAGGACCTACACTTGCTGTTGTAAGAGTCTCCTACGTGCAAATCATAATCTAATACCTATCTCCAAGTGAATTTACAAGCAGTGCTAGATAAGCAGTTTAGCCGTGGCATCCCATTTTGTGACAGGTCGATGGTGTGCCTGTGCTGTGTGTGTCAGAAACTCCCCTCGGATCGACAGTGTGTGTTTGCTACGTCTGTTTGAGAAGTGCTGCTGGTGTCTGGCTGTAGCAGTAGAAGTGGTGTTTGGTGGCACCATGCTGGTGGTGGTAGTTCTCTGACACTAAGTCAGGGTTTGCTGTGGTAATTGGCCCTGTGGCTTGCAGAGTCCTGTGTTGGACTCAGGGTGAGAACCTGTGAGTATGGCTGAGACAGTTGTTTGCATTCACAGCCAGTCCTGTCTGTACATGTCCCCCACCCTTTCCTGGTGCTGTCATCTCCCTTGTACAAAACCATCCTCCTGTTTTGCAGTTTCCTGCTTCCCTGTTGGCATCTGTTTTTAGCTCTGCCACTTCTGTATCACTGTCCTCTGATTGTAATTGCTGCAGGCAAAGAGGCAAGGATAGGGGAGATTAATAAATTGTCAGGAAAGAAAAACCAAAACAACCGAGAATGTTCTTGGGGAAGGTTCAGGCAGAAGTTTGGAAATACAGAGAGAGGAGGATGTAAATATTTCTGGGACTCAAGGAGCAGAGTGATGGAGTAAAGGATTTGGGGGCTTGCTACTAATCTGTCAGGAAATGTTATGACATTGTGGTGGCAGCAGGAGCAGAAGGAAGCAGCTGGAGCTGTGGACTCCTGCCCTCGGAGTGCTCTGTGTGCTCACGGCTGTCTGGTGAGGGGCAGAGACGAAAGGTCGGCGGAGCAGAGCCCTGGTGGATCCATGCCCAGCACAATTGCTCCTGGCTTGTTCCCCATGGCATTTAGCTAAATGTTTGGGGCTTAGTTTGCTTTTTGGTTTTGGGGAGATGGTTTTATTTTGGGGTTTGTTTTTTTTTTAAAGAAAAACAAAAGTGCTGCAGCTGAGGTCACTATTTTTGGTGTCCAACATGTGATTTCACTATTTCTTAAATATGTTTCTGACAGCATAAATGTTGTGGAACTAAGCTGTTTTCTGCTTCAGATGTCTGAGCTTTACAGAGTGTTTTGGTATCCTGTTTCTTCACCCACTCCTAAAACAGAAGATTAAATAGAGCAAGATGCATCTGAAACCCTTTATTTCCTCTTGTTTTTCCTGCCCTACTCTACCTTTTGTCAGGGGGTTAAAAGAGTAAAGCCAATAGGATCCTGAATTTCCTGGCACAGGAGCACCACATTAGCACTGTTTGAGCCATGCGGGGGCTGAAAGCTCTTTAATGGTGTTAATTTGGGCACAGTGTCCTGCTCATGTCCTCCCTATGGGCTTAGGCTGGACCAGCAGCAGCAGTGTGGGCCAGTAGCTGTGGTAGGTAGGAGATGTCTGCATACGGGAGGTGACACTTTTCCCTGAGTCCATCTGCCAGGCAGCCGTAATTGTGCCTCACTGCTCCTGGAGGTTCTCATAAAGACAAATTGCAAGATCTTTCATTTTAGAAATTCATAATTTGCTTCCTGAGGAATCGAAATACCATATTTCTATTTTCCCTACTCAAACTAGACTCTTGTCGATCACAGAAGTTTTATTTAGCACTGGAATTCTTGTAGGCAGCAAATGTTTTCATGCTTCCTTCAGAATCCTGCAGTTATTTACTTCTCGAGATATTGAGCAATTTCAGTTAAAATAAGTGAGAGCAACAGCTATTAAGTGCCTCCAAAAATTGGACTCCTCCTGCTAGAATGGCTATGTTTGGCAGTTATCATCAATGTATTTGTCCAGTATCTCTTCAAAGTCTTTCTTTTCAGTCTTTTTTTTTTCCTAGACACGTCTGTCTGCATTGCAGGTGAAACAGGCAGGCTGAGCTTTTACATTAGTATGAGATTCCTGCATTACCAGCCTAATTCCTCAATTACCAGCCTGATTACCTGTAGTTTTTGTTGTTGTTGTAATTAGAACTGTTGATTAGATGTATTATTTGTGAAAGACAAGTTGATGAGTAGCAGTGTGTTCATGTTTCTGTTCTGTCACAAGGCTTCTGGTTAGGATTAATCTCCTTTGCCTTTTTTTTTTCTTCTCCTGGGGATGTATCACTCAACAGGAGCAACCTCCCCAAAGGGCTGCTGAAAGAGGTGGCCAGCTGCCTAATTCCTGCCATCACACTTCCCCATTTCCCCCCCAGCACTGTTTAATCTCTGTTAGATGCGTGTTCGCTGGCACCTGCACAGTGACTTCACTGAAATAGCTGCCCTCCACAAGGCTTTCATTAAGCAGCTGAGGGATGAATAAGCTTTTTCATAATTTATAAAAATTAGCCATGCTTTAGTCTGTGTCAGCCTGACAACAAAAGGAGATTGTCCAAGGGCTTGTAGTTTTAGTCAGTGCTTGTATTGCCTTCAGAAGAAATGTATATACAGGTGAGCTAATAAATCCCAATTCCCACAGCTATCAAGTGGATTTAGGTGTTTGGACTGAGGTTTCTTAGGACAGCAATCAAGGGGTGATATGTCCTTGTAGAGCAAAAACCTTAAACAGTTTTTCTGCCCTCCTGTGCCAAGCAGCCAGGAGAGGTGAGATGCATAGGAGTGTTTTGTCTCCAGTGGTTGCAGAGAGGGGACAGAAGAGTTACACATTTTAGATGACTGAAGTTGCATGGGTGGGAGGTGCCATCCAAGTTCATTTGGAGTTGCAATTGATCTGTGGGAAAGGATGGGGGATGATTTGTTCCCCTCTGCCTCCCTCCCCTATTGCCTGTAACTCCACATGTACTTTGTGCTTAACTGCTTTTATTAAATATGCATGTATGGGGGAGGGGGTAATTTCTTACATCAGAAAATCAATTTTCTGGAGCCTGTAAGGCCATAGATGGCCTTAAAAGGAGGAACCAACTTCAGGAGTACTATAACTTGTTTGTACTTAAACTTCAGTTCTTTGACATTGTTCCCTGGTTCCAGTCTTGGGACTGCTGCAGGGAGATGTGCAGCCAGAAGTGGATGGCAGTTCCATGCTTGTCTGACACAGCAGCACTCGCTCACTGACCTGCATGGGTCCCTCCAGCTCCCCTGCCACGTTCCTTCTCCTGTCTCCTTCACTGACCGCTTGGTTTCCTTCTCCCTTCTCATCCTGCTAACTTGCTTTTCCTTTGCCACCTGCTGTCTTGCAGTCCTCTTCTTTGCTAGCTGCTCGACAGAGCTCCTCCGATGTCCCAACTGCTGCGGATCTTGTCAGTGCAATAGAAAAGTTGGTCAAAACTAAGCTGGTAAGTTTAGTGTTGTGAAAACTGTGTACACAACAGGCCCGATGTGACTCTAAGGAAGGGCTTTAAAGGCTACCTCTTGTTCTGGTTTCCTTGCTTTCTACCTTCATCTGCTCTGCTTTTATTAACCCTGTGTGCTCTGCTTCTCAGTAGTGTCCTATATTTTATTCCCCTGTGAGATGAAGCCTACATCTCACGTAGGCTCTGTGCTGCATAGTCAAAGTCACTTCTGGAGTGGGCTTTGCAGAGCATGAGCTTCTGTACTATACAATTTCTGGGGTCTTGTTAGTATCCAAATACTTTACACAGGGGGATGTTTTGTTTGTTTTGTTTCAAAGCTTGTTCTGAGGCACAGGAGTTTTACTACCCAACGTGGATTTGTTTGGTGTTCTGGTTTCGATGAAAAGACTCTAAAGAGTAGAACTGCTTGAAGTACCACAGCTGTGCTTTAATTTTACAAAGATTCATGTGTCACTTTTAATCTGCCTTGTCAACTCTTTCTTGCAGGGAGTGGAATAAGTAATAAAAATGCTCTGGGATTAATTTGTTCAAAAATTTCGGATCGTATGCTCTCACTGTCTGATCCCATGTCTGCTGGACCAGGAGTAAATCCTGTTTCATATCTTGGCTTCTTTTAAGTTTTCCCTGAGCAGTTAAAAAATGTTAATATTAAAGCTAAACTTTTTTCTACATGTCCCAGGACCTCTAAAATTTGCTAAATGCTTTCTCTGAACAAGTTTAACGTAATTAACAAGCAGGGATATGATGAGCCTACAAAGGTTCATTTCCTTACATCTACTGGAATGATGAAGAGAGTAAAAAGAAAATTTTAAAATCCCCACAGTGATCATTAAATTACTGCGACTCTGAGCAAGCATCTTTATCTAGTGAATCATTTCAGAAGTCTTTGGGATTTTCTCAGTTTGAGATGTTGGTACATGAGGAGAGTCAGTGTTCATAGCATGCTTGATAAGTGGTAAAAGAGTGAGTGGTAAAGGAGCTCTTTGTGGCATGGGAAACCAAGAAGGCTTTTCCCAGAAAATTCACTTAAAATAGTTTTTTTCCAGTGAGGGCTTAACAAACTGAAAAGTATTTCATTAATCCAGTTAGACATATTTTTTTGATGATACTTTATTTTCTCTCCCCCACATGCAGTCTATTAGACTATTACAACTACTTTCAAGGGATTTGGGGCAAACTTTGATTATTGTGGAATTTTACTGTGTCCATCTATTTCTATTTTGTGTTTTATTTTACTACAAGAATCCCCCATTCAGTCTTTGGCAGACGAACTTTAAACCACGTGTAGCCTAACAATGGTCCTGATTGAGACATCAGGATATTTCCAGGTTGATTTGAAATAATTTGGAAGAATTTTCTTTTCTCAGATCTACTGGAACATCTTTTTCCACCTTCTAACAAGAGGATGACAACTCTGCTTTAAGGTTGTTTTTTTTTGTGGGATGCTACATCAACCTAAAACTAGTTTGGTTGTGTTTCACAAAGTCCTGCAGGAGAGTGTTTCTGAATACTTTGTCATGTTGGTTGCAGAACTGACTTAAATACTGATGCTGAAGTTTAAGGAAAATGTTTATTCTATTGTTCTTTGGGGTTCTTTTAGACCCTTGAAGGAGGATCTTACCGAGGAGGCTTAAAAGATGCCACTGGCTGCTTAAATGAAGGAATGACGCCTTCAACTCCCCCACGAAACCTTGAAGAGGAACAAAAAGCCAAAGCAATGAGAGGCAGGATGTAAGTTGCATTACTGGTTCTTTCCAAAATATGTACCAGGAGGACACACAGCATCACGCCAGGAATACTTTGTAGTCAGTGAGTGAGCATGGAACTGAGAGTAAAACCATGTTCTGCTTGCTTCTTGTTTTTCTTAACATGTAAAAACACTTCATAAAAGCACTTCCACGCATAAGAAATTCATCATCACTCTAAAATGTACAGCTTTTACACAAGATAGCAAGTATCTGTTGCTGTAAAAGCCTCTGAAGAGCTGAACAGGTGTTGTTGAGATGTTTGCATTGGTAATTACTGCATTGCCAGAGGTGAAATCCGCTCTCAGAGGGGAGATATGTGGCTGACCTTATTAGCTACACTTAAGAAAAAGAACAGAGAATCCCTCTAGGATTTTTGAGAGAGTTATTTTTTTGACTCATTATTAGCAAAGGAAGGGACAGGATTTAGATTCATCCATGGTGGAAACATGCCACTGAAAAGAAAATTCTGTTTGGGAAACCGTCATGTTCATGGTAATGGAAGAAAAAAGAGGTGGTGACAACTCATGAAAGTTGTTTTATAAAGTTAGCTGTACACCCCCTTAAATTTGACAAAAATAATGCTTATTCCTTCAAAGCCTATAATGATTAAAGAATTTCTGAAATGCATACTGAGCTGAAGAACACAGAGAATTGGAGCAACAGGATCAAGAATTATACAAAAGAAAGCTGAGGTGGTTGCTTTCTTTTTATTTCCTCTTACACTAACAACAGTAACTGCACTGATCTAATCAAGTGGTAAATTTGGGGAAAAGTGACATTCCATCCAGCTCTCACAGGAGCATGGTAAGGTGAGAGTTGGAAGAAGACCACCCCATTTGGGAAAGATGCCAAGTCAGGGAAGAACAAGGAGGTGGTGAAGAGTAGAAGATGAAGTAGGAGCAAAGTGCCATAGGGCTGTAAAAGCCATCATTTGCTCCTGCAGTTTGTTGCAGGAAGCCAGAGAAGGGATAACAGTGAGGGACTGGAGCAACTCGCAGCAGCAGACAAGGACATGGCACTCCTGGATGTGTTCCTGAATGGCAGAAGTTTTCTACAAGGCAGCTGTCAGCCTTCCCACAGGGAGCATCTCTGCCCATGACTGTCTCCTAAAAGCTCCTCAGTATTGCAGGATATGGAGTTCCTCTGGTAGCAATTCATTAATTAGGTGACTGGCAGCTAACTGCAGGTTGCAGTTTTAGTGCAGAGACCTCTGCCACTGTAAGCACAGCTACAGGAACGCTTCTGGCAGGGAACTGGCAGCCTATTATGTGCAATTAGTAGCTGCCAGAATTCCTAAACACCAGGATGTTTAGGAGCACCTGCTAGTAGCTTTCAGCACAAGACATCTGTCTCCCCTCCAGCTCTTTTGTGTCTGCATTCTGTGTCCCTGCAGCTTGCTGGGTTTAATTCCATAGTCATGTGAGGCAGCTGATCTCTCAGCTCGAGCTGTGACCCTCCAATCCCCACAAAACAGCAGCTGAACCCTTGCACGGGCATGGACAGCAATGTCCTCTGTTCCTGGCAGCACATCCATGCCAGCAGTTAGCCTTGGTGTGAGGAAACTCCTTATTCCATCAGGCTGGATTGCTGCATTTCTGTGAGCAGTAAGACAATAGTCTTGTTGAGTGTCATTGTTCAGTATAGGTCTAATACAGTTCAGACCAAGATATCCAGCTATTTTTCCAAGATATCCAGCTATTAAGACTCAGCCAGAAATGAGGAGGCTCTAGCCTTGCCCCTGTTCATGCCAGTTTAAATACAGCTGTGTAGTCAATACCTGCTGGTGACCAGGACAATTTGCAAACAACTCCCTGCCCTTGCTCCCTCTTATCAGAGCAGGAGATGAGTGAACTTCAATTTTTGCCTACGTGCATCTTAGAAACCTCAAATTTGGGAGTACCTCTAAGGTGCTGTGTCAGGTAGGCTTCAGGAAATAAGTAGAGATGGTCAAGGTTGATTTTCCTGCTTGGTAGGAAGAGAGGAGCAGAGGGGGAAACCTGGTGCTGAATTTAATGTAAGCAGTGAGGTACAGACCCTGAATCCTAGTAGACGTCTGAATTGGCAGGTTTTGTCTGTTCTCCAGATACCTGGTTGCTGTACTGATTTTTAATAAACATGCAGCTGCGTGCATGTCCTGCAACATTATGTACTACACGTACCTGCTGATTTGTTTTTAGAGCAGAACTTGGCCAGGTGGATCTTTGCAGTAACCTTGTTGGGTGGGAGAGGTTCTCCCATTCCCTCTGCAGCTCTCTGTGCCTGTGGGGAGCAATGCAAGCAGAGGTGGTGCCACTGGCAGGTCTCCTGCCAGCCTTCCTGTTTGGGCAGAGGGGACGTGGAGCCTGTCCCAAGGACACAGTGGGTCAGGCAGCCCGGGGCTGTGCAGCACACTCCTGCTCTGCCCTGCACTGCTGGCAAAGAGCAGCCTCTGCCTTTTGCCTCACACGTGTTTGCTGCCCGGGCACCACTTGGCAGAGCACTCCAGAGAGCACAAGCGTCTGGTGCAGCTGCTGCCAGCCCTGCCTGCTGCCAAGGGGGCTGGATTTCACTCTCAAACCAACAAGAAGCTGTTCGACTTTTTTCTGCCACATGGCCAGAGTATCGCCTCCGCTTTGTCTGAGCAAGGGACACATTGCAAGTGCAGCAGGAACAGGATTTATTTTCTCAGTATTCTCTCCTTGCAATGCCTGGTTGTTTTTTTTCCCTCCAGGTATTTTAAACCAGGCTTTATCTTAGCACTGTTTGCCCTCAGCCCTATCGCTTCAAGTGGGTCAGTCTGGTGATTGATGTGGACAGAGCAATATCAGCATGAAAGCACTCCTCTATCTTGTTAGCCTTGTTACTGCTGTAGGAAACTTGAGGACAGATGGAGTTTATTTGTCACATGCCAAATCTATGTATTGGCGTAATTGAGAGACAAACTGTCTGCAGCAAGGTGTAACTTTCTGAAATTGTCCTCAAAAGAACATTATGTGATTAGTTAGTTTGAGTTACGAAGGAGGGGCTTTTTTTAGCTTGCTGTTGTTTGCATGCATCAGACCTTCATCAGATGACTCCCTTACCTAGGGTTATTAGCTCTGAAATCAGAGTTATAGCATTCACACCCACACATAGATTACCTACTCCGAAAGATTAGGCTCTTAGTTATGATGGGAGAGGGGATTTGTTTTCCAAGTGTTTGAAACTTCCAAATTGATACTTGATTGATGAATCTTGGGTGAAGCCAAATAGACTGGGGCAAGAAATCTGCTCCTGCTTGCTGCAAAATGGGTCAGGACACGTCTCTATCGTTCTCTGCATAGGGGATGGGGAGATGAGATCAGGGAGGGGTAATTTAAGGTACAGGCAGCTGTTTGTGCTGCTGCTCTTGCACCATCCTGGGATGTCGGGGGGAAGAGAGATAGCAGGAAAGAATAGTTAAGAGATTTGAAACTACTTTGACCTAGCATGTGATGTTTTTGTCTTTTACATTCCACTGAGCTCTGAGTGAAGGGTGAATTGTGTTATGTGATCTGGATGATGATGGGGTTGTATGGTGAGGTCATATGTGGTAAAGGAGCAAATGGTAACATCAAGGAATATGGTCAAATATTTGTGTGTTCTGTTTTAATTTAGGTTTGTCTTAAATGAGCTGGTGCAGACTGAAAAAGACTACGTCAAAGACTTGGGAACTGTTGTGGAGGTGAGCTGAAGCAAACCCTGCTATGCAAAATGTTTTCCCACTAAAAAGCACCATGCTGACAAGTGACAACAACAGAAAATACAACATGAGAAAGAAACTGCTTTAT